TCCATAAACGCTTATTTTTTCATATACCGAGGCTAGTACCTATTTCCGAGAAAATAATATCAAAAAGGAAAGAACCCTTCGTTTCTGAATTAAAATCGTTGTTCAATTAGAATTTAATTTAGAATTGAAAACTCAAATACTTTTCAAAGCAAACTTCTACTGAAATTGCATATACACTATGTAAATATTTCACCAATTTTTCGTTGTATGAGAAACATTTTGATAATTAATTTTCTTTACATAAATGTTGGTGTTTTCCAAAACTCATAACGAGAAATGCACGGATACGAATTCCAATTAAAACGCAATTCTTCACATTTCCATTTGCGTAAGCGATCGGCTGTCAATATTTGCCACCGAAAATCGAATTTTCACTGTACAAACCGAAAACAAACAATTTCTGTTCGCTGTCAAAGATTCACTACCCGCACATGCGACCACAACAACAGCAAAACGATTGCCCGGGAGTTCAACACTGACATTGGCTGTTATAACGAAATTCCAATTAACGTCAACTCATTGTGACGTAAAAAATTTTTGTGATTAATTTCGCTAATTTTCGTTGGGCACATCAAAACATGCGATTGTAATGCATCCTAAAAGCGATTTTGAGGTGTTTTAATGGACGACATTTAATGCTGAAAATGTATGTATGTATATGTGGTATGTTACACACGTACAGGTTATATGTATGTATTTATTCTTTGCAAATGGTTTAATAATATAAGCTTCCCCCTCTTAATAGTAAAATTTGTTTTAGCCCCCCTTCAAACATTTTTATGCAAATATTTGTTAATAATTCCAATAATCAACGATTTTATAGATGAATGTACTACATTTGCAGAAGTATAGAGGATGATAGATAAATAACATGTCCTTGGAAAAATTAAATAATAAACGGTGGATTGTGTTTCGATCTTCGGCGAAAATTTTGAAATTTTTCACGTGTAGTTGCGGACTTAAAAACTGCTTCTGTTTCCATGTGAGAAACTGGCATCACTGTAACGGTATTACAATGGACTTCATACCTTTTGCACTTGATTTAAAAAATTCCATACGAAATATATTTTTTTTACTTTTTTTCTTTATTTAAAAATATTATTCATATTCCTAAAAATGTGTTCGACCAGCTCGTGTTCAACGAAATCATTTGAAATGGATTAAGATACCTAATATATGACTTACTTTATGAGTTTTTCAGTTTTTGACACGCCCATAACTTCTAGGAAAAAACTCAATATATTTTCATGTCGATTTTTCTCAGTTTTATCAAGGAATTTCAGTCAGATCGAAAATCATCACTCATAAAATCAGAATTGAATTGAATTGAATTGAATGCTCGCAATACAAGCGTATTTCGTGAAAGACTAAAGCCTACCATCTACAATCTAATCTAATTAGGCCTTATCTGTGCAGCCATAAACCTGGTAAGGCAACCATCAGATAGTCACCATGCGACAGTACTTGGAAAAGACCCGATGGACACACAACACCTCATTGTCGATTCTAAATCAACCTTCGCCGCTATATCTTAAGTTGGTATCCCCGCAAAACTTATACGGCTGTGTAAACTGACGCTGGACAACACCAGAAGCATAGTCAGAATTTGAAAGGACCTCTCCGAGCCTTCGATACCAACCGAGGTTTCAGACAGGGTGACTCTTTATAGTGTGATTTTTTTCAATTTTGTGCTGGAGGGAAGGTACAATCTTCTATAAGAGCGTACTTCTGCTGGCTCATGCCGATGATATTGACATTATTGACCTCAACAACCGCGCCGTGAGCTCTGCTATCTCTAAACTTGATAAAGAAGCGAGGCGAATAGGTCTGTTAGTGAACGAGGACAAGGCGAAATATCTGCTGTCATCACATAAATAAACTTGGCTCCCAGGTCACTGTTAACAGTCGTAGCTTTGAAGTCTTAGATAACTTGGTATCTAACTCTCGCTATGAGGTTCTAATTTGGACGGAGTAGGCAATTGAAAAGTAAAGTTCTATCCCGACGAATGAAAACCAAATTCTACAAGTCGCTTATTGTTCCCATCCTGCTACATGGTGCGGAGCCACTAATGATGACAACATCTGATGAGTCGGCGTGAGGAGTTTTCGAGAAAGAGAGAGCCGGCCACGCTGGCTAGTTCATGTGGTCCGGATGGAAAAGAAGTTTTCGTGCAGTACCCGTCAGTGAAAACAGAGATAGGGAAGACCACCATGGCTACTGACTATACTTTGTATCTCCAAAGGGCGGCAAAAAGCGGAAAGAAGGAATGACTGTCGCAATGTTGTTAATTCGCCTTTAATCGCGTAACGGTATCGCGTATACGCATACAAAATCCCGTTTTGCTTGAGCACTTTTTAATTATTATTCCTTCCCCATAATTTGCCTTAGAGTTTTGATGCAAAGAAACTATTCGCCGGAACACGATTGAGTTGGAGAAAAATATGTAACTAACACGACGATACTAGCAGAAGAAAACAGTTTTTGTTTAATTTTTTTTAAATAACCTTAATTTACAATTCACCTTGCATTTAGCGTGAAAATCATCAGCCTGATTTGAAAGGTTGGAAGTGCAAGTTATCACCATGGCAGGTTATACCCAAAACGAAAAAATATAGTTCGTCACGAGGTGTTTCATTGCACACTGCGATTCCTACAACACAATATGTCGTTACTAAAATTCACAGATCAAACGTAGAACTCGAATTGATTACTCTAATAAAAAAAATAATAATTTAAAAAATTTTAATTCATTTTGAAATCCTAAATCTGCGAATTCATTGAGTTTTAGAGGAAAGGAACTTCATCCAGGTCGACTAATTTTAGATGAAATATTTTTTTATTGTTTTTGGTCTAGATGTAAAAGACAAATATTTGCAATAGATTCTGAAATTCATTTCGAAAAATAGTAATTTAGGTTTTATCTATGTATGTTTGTACTAAGCTTTTATATATTTACATATATAGATGATTAGATTCCTCCATTGAGGAAAAAACCAAAGAGCAAGTGTCAAATTAAAAAAACTTGTATGATAGTGAAAGCTATGTTGGTCGCGCGCACATACTTATATATTTATTAATTATCAGATAAACACGTAATTAATAAATTGACTCTTACGTAACAACTTCGAGTACGCCAAAGAATCCGCGGCAAATCATGCATCGAGATTGACAGTAATTGTAATTTTTGCCACTGATAATGCCGATAACGAAACTTGCACTTGTCGTTAGGAGTTGAAAGGTTTATGCCAGTTTTAGTAGAACTCCGTTATTTGGTCGGAACTGTACTGTTAAACGGGTGCAATTGAAGTATTGGCCGATTTCCTGAAATTTTTATCTAATAAAAAACCTCGGTTTACCAGTAGAGTAAATATGTAAGAGTTTCAAAAAAGAAATAATAAATCTGTTTGGGAAATTGGAAATAAAGAATAAAAAATGTTTACAATTTGCGAGTTGGCTAATATTAGAAAAACGTAATCAGTTTGTAACACAAGAAACACACGGCGAAGAATTTGGTTTAAGCTATTTATATGGATCTGACCTTATTGACGATCGCTAAGCGGTAGCAGTGCATACAACCAAGCGGATAGTCAAAATTTTGAACCCTGATCAGACCAGCACCAGAGCCGGTTCAGAATTTTCGTTTTTGAGGAGAAACAGCTCAGCAAGTTGCAGCCATAATAGGGGCACATTATACAATATATACACACACGTGTATGTACACTATAAAACCGGGCCAAAAGTTGTTGTGACTTTCCGTATTTCCTTTAATTCATCTAATGCAAAGTTTAATTAAAAGCCCGAATAAAGTAACGTACATCACAAAATATTAAGTTTTTTTATTATAGTATTGATATTTCTATTCGTGTGTCACATATTCCATACTCAAAGTCTCAATATGTCAAGTAAATTGAACTAAAGTACAATTTTTTCAAATAGATTTCACTGCCTTTTATTAATAAATTTTCTTAAATATCTAAAAATGGCACATATTTTTTTTTTGGACTTTTACATAATATTAAAACACAAAGTGAAATTATCTTAATTTGATTCAGAATGACACGGAAGTCATTATCAGGTGCAATGCACTTAGGCAATACTAAAAAATACATTACATGGCAAAGAGCTCAATTCCCTGATGGAAATTTCCGGACCTTTTTTTAGAAGCAAAACAACTTTCATGAAATTTTACAACAAGTCGAAGTTAAGAGAAAAATTTTCTACCTGTCTGACAGCAAAGATTTTTCAAAATTCGATCCATCTTGAACAGCTTTAATAAAAAAGCAATCAAGCCAAAGTTGGACAGATTCCATTAAAATTTCCTTTAACAAAATACATCACACCGACCATGAACGGTGCATTTACAAGAGTTTCTTTGGAAGCTGTCAGCTGAATAATATATACACAAGTACTTCGACCAAATATCAATTTTTTCCATGAAATTTAGGGGTCTACTGAGGGAAAGCAGCTGATTTTGAGTCTCTTAAGTTAAATAGAAACTGATTTATAATTAATTGAAAGCAAGTTAATCATCTGATTCGTCACTACTATTGGTTCTAGAAAAAATCAGCATCAAAACAGCTGGATAAATGGATGTGAAGTTTTGTCCTTTCGCTGTCCAATTTAGCTTTGCTCTAGCTATGACAAAGAATGAAGAAATCTTTTTTTATATACAATAGAGTCCGACAGTTATTTTATTTTAATTTATTCAACGCGGCCCAAGACAATTCTTCCTCTTATTAACTTTGACGAACGTCCCTCATCCCGACAGCATTTAAAAAATATCTTAATTTACCGATAGACAATGTTTCGATCCAAGATTATGTTAACGTGTGACACAATATTAAATGTAGTATGCACATATGTACATACATCATTTGCATAGTCCGTTTCATTAAATTTTCAATTTTGGATATTAAAAAGTTCATAAATATTCTAGATAGCGCATGGAAAGAAGCAACCATTTTTTGCACTTTTTTCCCAACACCAAGACACTGAATACATGGCTGAAGATTTGAAATTATTCGAAAATGCCTTTCGCCGTGCCCACAACAGAATAACAGTTTATGAAGGAAGCCTTGGCGCCTACGCCTACGAGAGTAACGAAACAGTCCACCGAGGCATATTGCGAGAGGATCTACTCGTTTTGAATAGCACCGAGCGCATTGCATTCATAACCGTTATATCGTTTTTGCTTGCGGTTTCTCTGTGCGGTAACATTGGAGCGTTGCATGTGAATTTTCGACGAAAAATACGCCCATTCTTTCGTGCTTGCCTCATTTCGCTGGCGATTGGTGATTTGATTAATACGTTATTCCTCTCAACTGCCTATTTGAGTCAAATATCAAATGATTTTTTACAAATTTGGGTAAGTATGTTTACTCGTATGCATGTGTACGAATATAAGAACATAACTGTATTTAATGGTAACAAATAAGCCGTAGTGATTAAGTGAAAAACTCGCTGTTATACTGAGAATTTTCAGAGCTGCATTTACCTACAACAACAATATCATCACACTAATTGTAAATCATTTCGCCTCCACCATTCTCATAGGTCCTTGGCCACATCATGTGCCATTTGGTGCCGTTCATCAATACTGCCGCTATTTTGGTCAGCTCGATAACTTTGGTTGGCATCGCACTGGATCGTTATTTTGCCGTCATGAGAGCCGTAATTAGTTTTTGGAATCCTGGTGTCATTTTCTGTGTGCTCAGCATGCTCGTCTTGTGGGCTACGTCCATTGGCATATCGTGGCCGGTATTTCGCGTCTATGAATTATTTCCCGTATACATACTAACTGTGCAAAAGATGCCGATGGACGTTGGGCTGAACTCTACGGCGACCACAAGCGCTGATGTTGACATTCTGGGAAAAGTCATTGCTGGCTCAGCAGCCACAGCTACAACAAATGCTAGGCCAATCGTACCAGCGTTACATGAAACCTTCTCCGATACAGTTACACAAACTATGTGGGAACAACGGAACGATGCCAACAACAAGCGCAAGTACGCCATGGTGATTACTTCTGAGCGGGTGATGATGTGTATATCCAATCAGGTAGGCTTGGCAATGGTATTGACTTTTAACAGTTTGCCAATTTCAGGGTATGCGTTGCCATGCTAACGACGCAACTGAGTGGGTGTTTGGGGTGTTTGGGGTGTTGAAGTGGTGACACCGCTGACGATATGACAGTTAGGCCTAAAATGCGCATTTATCTTTCTTGTCCACGGCTAACAGATATTCGGGCGCACATATACATACACATTCGTGTATGTACATTGGTGTGCGTTCACTTATAACTGCAACTGCCATTTTCCCGCCGCACTCGATTGGCTGCCCTCATTATTGTCACTGCCGATAAGCGTAGCTATACATATACATTTGTAAATACAATGCGACAGTTCGATGATGAAGTATCACTGCTTTTTACGCTTGGGCGTTGCTAATGGCCCTTCTGTCTTTTTAAAAGTTTTCAGTATTACCTCGATTGAGTTATTAGATAAGATTCACTCATCTTATATTTCTGATATTAAAAAAGCTTCCCATGAAAATTCATCAGTCCTTGGCAGGCTATTCAAATTTATAGGTCCCTATATTTATGGGAATGCCTACAAGACACACAATAGAATTTTTTGAAAATGCTCTACCAAAAATATTTAGTATTAGTATTGAGAACTCAAAAGGTTTTAACCTTTCCGTTTGTCTGTAGAAGTTAGTTTGCTCTGTGAAAAACATATTTACGGGTGATTATATACACAGTATAGTGGGCACTTTGTAACCGCAGAAGTGATTTTCGAACGCGCTGCTCCTTCGATATGTGATGTGCGTCTTGATGGAGGGACCCAGAGATTTATGAGGAGATTTGTTTTTTAAAATTACACTCGGGTAGGCCTTTTCAGTCGGTGGGCGACCGTAATTAATAACATTAAATTATTTTTTATTTAAATTAATTGGCTGTGATTTTTTTATTATTGGTTACTGAACTAGAATTTGAACCCTGGCTTTCCGGATGTCAGTCAGCACATTGCTAGCCACTTGGCCATTGTGGCCGCTGACGGTTTTTAATATCTTCATAACCATCCGATCGAGTTTTTCACACAAACAGTACCGATAATCAAATCCTTATGAAGAGCAACTAAGACATGTGAAATTATTTATAAATGAGAAAAGCACAGAATATGACGTTATCATACAGTAGCTGGGGTTTTCTGGCATTAATGTCGAATATTAATGCTTTGATTGAACGAAAGGTGTATTTATTTATCATCCTTCTAAATTAACAGCAATAACTAGCCTCAGCTAAAACATTAACGATTTCCGTCGACAACACCAATGCGATAGGAAACTTTGCTCACGCCACACTCTATTGCCCGCTCAATTACTGAATCGCTTCGTACATTCTTGCTTTATTTATTATAAGGCAAGCAATCATTTGGCGCGTCTCCCTTCCATACTTACCTACGACGACTTTAGCTGTATTTTTTCGGCTATCATAACGCATTCGTAGTTTTAGCTAAATTAGCAATTTTCGTTATCAAATTTCATAATTGATAATAATCAAAAAGCTTTACTCTTACGGGCGCCAGGCAGTGATAATTTTTCTTTTACATGACATCCTCATACGGATAGTTTCCAGTGACATTTAATGTGTTCGATTTTGCCATGCTAGGCTCTTCTCTTGAAGGAAAATCTACCACTTTTTAATGAAACATATAATTTGTATTACTACGTCAAGAATATGTTATGGAAGTTTTGTGGGCAGCGATAAAAAATTCATAATTTCGCTATAAGTCATTAAAGTCGATTAAATAGTTCCAAGCAATTTGAAATTAATTTTAATCCTGGTGATGAGCCCAAGTGAGGAAAGTTTTTGACTTCCATTCATCTGGGAGTGGCCAGAAACGATTCTTTTGCATGTGGTTCAAGCAGCTCATAACTTCCGGTCTTAGACCAAGTATCCCATTTGGAGGCGAGTTAAATTGCGAAGGCGAATCCCAAGCGGTTGTGCAGAGGGTTTGGGAACCACCACATGAAAAACAAAATCCAATGAAAAATTTCAAAAAATGACGACAAATGTTGTAAGGATTACGATTTTAGTGCATGCACCTGGAATGTCCGGTTCCTTGATTGGAATGGTGCCGCTGCCCAGCTGGTTGATGTCCTCATAAAATTTGGGGCTGATATCACCGCCGTCTAAGAAATGCGTTTAACGGGACAAGCACGAAAGAAGGTGGGTTCTTGTGAAAATTTCTTTTAAAGGAGCGCAAATTTGGTGTCAGATTCGTAGGGGAAGAGAGACCCCGTCACCGGATACCAGCATTCACTCCGGTGGAATACGCATCAAAACTAAATTCACTCCGGTGGAATACGCATCAAAACTAAATTCTTTAACACCGCCCACGCCCCGACGGAAGAGAAGAATGACTTGACCAAAGATGGCTTTTACGAGCGCCTCGAGAACACTTCTGAGCGCTGCCCCCGCCACGACGTCTAAATTGTGCGTGGTGACTTCAACACTAGGGTAGGCAAAGAAGATATTTTTAGGACAACAGTCCTAAAATTTAGCCTCAACGACGAAAGATCCCCAAATGGGCTGAGGCTGATCGACTTCGAAATATTTTTGTGTGTAGCACTAGATTCCAGCACAAAATAGTACATCAAGCAACTACGCGCCTCTGCGTATCGAAGAACAAAAAAGGTTCGAAAAACTGCAATCACAACAGACTGCCGAGTGGTTTTCTACTCGGCTTGCACACTCTCTGAGAGCACTCATCAGGAACCCCGCACAAGGAAATTATGAGACGAAACTATTGAATTTTGAAAAGATAGCGAAAACAGCTGTTATGGTGAGGACTGCCGTGTCGTAGGGGAGAGAAAACAGACTACCTACCTCGCGACCTTGCGATCGACCACAAGACGTGCGGGATGTGATAAATACCGAAAGCTGAAGCTTTGTCAGGAGCGGAAAGGACCTCTCCGAGTCGTTTGATACCAAACGAGGTTTCAGATAAGGTGACTCTTTATCGTGTGACTTTTTTAACTTATTGCTGGAGAAAGTAATAAGAGCTGCAGAGCTGAATAGAGAAGGTACAAATCTTCTATAAGAGTGTACAGCTGCTGGCGTATGCCGATGATATTAACATTATTGGCCTCAACTACCGCGATGTGAGCTCTGCTTTCTCCATACTTGATAAACGAAGCTAGTGGGTCTGCTAGTGGGTCTGGTAGTGAATAAGGGCAATAGAAATATCTCAGTCATAACTTCGAGGCCGTAGATAATTCCGTTTATCTAGGCTCCAGCTTTAACATCAATAATAAAGTTAGTCTTGAAATCCAACGTAGAATCACTCTTGCCAACATGTGCTACTTTGGACTTAGTAAGCAATTGACAAGTAAAGTCCTCCCTCTGCGAACGAAAACCAAACTCTGCAAGTCGCAGAAGCGAGGACGATGTCAATATCTGATGAGTCGGCTCTTGGAGTCTTCGAGAGAAAAGTTTTGTGAACGATTTATAGTCCTTTGCGCATTGGCCACCGCGCATATCGTAGACTATGGAACGATGAGCTGCACGAGTTATACGGGGACATTGATATAGTTCAGTGAATAAAGAAGCAGCGGATACGCTGGCTAGGTCATGTGGTCCGGATGGAAGCGAATACTTCAATTTTGAAAGTATCCGATGCAGTACGCGCTGGTGAAGCAGAGGAAAAGGAAGACCTTCCCTCCGTTAGAAGGATCAGGTTGAAAGTGACCTGGCTTCACTTGGTATTTCCAACTGCCGCCAAGCAGCGAAAAGAAGAGAAGAATGGCACGCTAAGATTGATTCGGCTATAATCGCGTAAGCGATGCCAACGCCAACAAAAGAGAAGAATCGAACCATTCGCTTTTCCTACAGCTGCCGCCTATTGACTGACCTTAAGGCAATATTTTGAACAGTTCTTTGACCCATTCGTCAATATACCATTACAATTTCTGCATAACAAATTTTCCAAAAAAATATTAAAATATCTTTAAGCTTAATATTTTGTAAGGGGCAAATTAAATAATTCTGAGCAAACACCTTTGTAAAAAGCTCGAAGCTCAACTTCTGTGCAAAATGCTTTCAAAACGAAAAAAAATCGTTAACGTTGAAACCGCATAAACTCACCGTTATATTCTATTTCCACCGGACGTTAAATGCATTTTATCTTAAACGCATTTACACATACACACATTTACACTTACATTTCCAAGTGACTGTTTGAGTGAACGCACCTTCGGTGAAAACATTGGACATTTCATTAACTTTACAGAGACCTTAAATGCTGTGTTTAACAGCACACTTTAATTTTAATATTTAGCATTATCTGTGAACGAATTAACATTAACAACGGCAAAATTTATATAGATAACTGCATAAACATCGATAGGTTTATTTATTGAGCTTCACCAGGTTACGCCAGGTTACTCTATTGTCTTTTTGGCAGTTGCTCTATTCTGCTCGAACATGAGCTGCTCTACTCTATTTTCAGTCTCAATAAACAAACCTAATATTGCCAAAGTTGCAACAGGGTCAATTGAAATTTTTTGTTTAACGTGGAGTTTATCGTAATGATGCACCCTTGCAGTAAATAATTAGGAGGCATAAAACTGTCGAAACGAATCCTACTAAGAGGGTCTAGATAGCCCTGTGGAGACAACTTGTTGTTTTTCTAATCAGATCAAAATAACTCTACCACTCAAATCTTTTAAAATAAATAAAAAACTGTATAAATAAAATAATTATCTAATTACGTATATTCTTTTAACTTTATTCACAGTCGTCTATCGCATTATACTACATCGTTATTTTTGGAATTATTTTTGTGCCCACCATAATTGCATTTGTATGTATTAATGCAGTAATTGCCAAACAATTGTGGAAACGTCGTAAAACAGCGATGACTGTAAACAAAATTGATCACAGCAGATTCGTGGAAAAGTGGTTTGGCTGGTGCTGTTGTGGCAAAGGCTTAAAAGGACGTGATAAAGAAGAACTGGGTACGAAAGATAACTCAAACGAAGTGAAACCAGGTACAACGCATAACTTCAATGCTTTGGCAGATACTCGCATTGAACTAGCCCCTTTTAACGTTCCTAGTGCTACCACTATGCAACACTTTATTCTGCCATCCAACACTTCTCACGCTCCGCCAGCCAACATCAAACCCAGCAACAGCCGTGAGAGCCGTCATATTCGTATGTTTTATATTGTCATTATGTTGATAACAAGTTTTTTGCTTCTGCGTCTGCCAACCTGGATTTTTCTAATTACACGCATGTATATCCCTTACGCCGGCCACACGCCGATCATATTGCACTACACATTCGGCATTCTTAATATAACCAACTCAGTGTTGAATCCGTTCTTGTACACCTTCCTTACGGAGACCATAAAATGTGCCAACTTTATTAAGGGAACTTTTCGCCATCGATTTTGTGGCTTTCGATTATGTAAACAGCAGAAACAAGAGTTTGGCAGCAATGACGTATCGCAAAAATGCGATATTACTTCAGACCATTCCACGGCTATCTGTTGTGGAAGCAGTTGGTTTTCTAAGGCAGAGGTAGTAAGCCCGAAAGTTAACTTCGAATCGCCCGCAAAACTAAATACAATTGAGAATTTCAGCAACTACTGATGAACCAAAATTGAACCACGGAGCGGGTGTCAGCGATAAGACGATAAGGATGAAAGTGTAGATTACAGTGATGTCAGCTGTGCTAGTAACAAAAGCAACTATGAATAAGGATGCGTTGACCATACTTTTTGGATCAACCACAAGCTGGTTTCACAAAATAAAGCTCTCAAAAATAAATTGTTTAATTATGAATATAATATAAAATAGCACAAAGAGTTAAAAATTATAAAAAATATCGATCAAGTACACTTACATTATTTTACAAATTCAGAGTCCTGCGGTCCGACCCTGACCATCCATCTGTCATTCAGTGCCGGCTTAGCATAAAATGTAGGTTCTCCGATTGTAAAAGACACGTAAAGACATCTCCCACAAATTGGAAGAGGAGCTCATCCGTAATTCGCTTCAGCTCCAGAAGCTTCTGAAACACAATTTCCTCTATGTTGCCTAAAGCTGGGCACTTCTGGGCGATTACTTTGTTCATACTGTCCAAGGAGCAAATCAAAGCGGATGATACCAATCCCATCACACACACAACTAAACCTTCCCAGCCGTCAATCCTGTTTTGAAGACAGTTTGTGGCGGCGCATTGGCCTTCGGCGACGAATTTTTTTGTTTGACATGGCTATTAGTGATCCTCGATACATTATTACTCACCATCCACTTCGAAGATGGGCCAACTTTGTTACAATGCAGCAGCGATTTGTAGATAGAAAATCGGTTCATGCGGTTTTCTCTTTCTTGGACCTCCGGACCAATAGAAACCGTGCTGGCATGACAGTTAGATTTAACGATTTTCGACAGTTGGTCTTTCACCGGAGCAAAAAAAAAATTGCACGTGATAGACTGTAAAACTATAAAAACCTTAAAAGCTCTTCACATTTTCAGCTGCTTGACTGGCGTTTTCGTCTCTAACAGACAAAAGCTGTAGAATGTATCGTATTTGCTCGTTGTTGGTGTCCATCTTTGCAAAGTGCTCGAACGCTACTGATCTGACTGATCGCATTTATAGAACACAAGCTACATACATATCATTAAAGCGTTATATTTTAAATTCATGGACTAATTTTTACTATACCAAGTATACGAAGGGGATTAAGAATTTCAATTTGTTTTTGTTAATTCTAAAAATATCAAGTCTTTTTCAAATACCTTATTAGTCGTCCTTTCAATTTTAAGAACGTTCGGCTGAAATAGAGTCGAGAAAACGCAAGATAGCTAAGCATAGGTCAGACGAAATTCCACCCCAACACAAACAGAAACTCGACCTTTGTTTATATCCGTCTTTCGGCGTAATTAACAACCAATACAAAAATATTCAGTGAATGCTAAATTAGAATGCTTGCTAATAAATTGGGCCTGAATGCCATGACTGTATCGCGAATACTAAAAAGTCTTCTGGGATACCCTAAGAAATCTGCTCGACGGGTACCACGAATTTTGAATGAGGCCGAAAAAGAGGCTCGAATGCATTTTGATCAATTTCTTTTAAGCAGATTCGAAAATGGTCAGTCTAGCAACTTTAGTAAAATCATTACTCATGACGAATCTTGATTCTTTAAGTATGATCTAGAAGCCAATCAGCAGTCCATGTCATGGAGCCCAACAGGAATAAAATCTAACCAACAAAAATCAGCAGCAAAATCAATAATGTCAGTTTACTTCACCCAATCTAAAATCATAGCTGCTATTCCACTGGAAAAGGGTCAGACAGTAACTGCGAAACGGTACACCGAAGTGTGCTTACCAAAAGCTTTCAAAAATTTATTCGAAAACAGGAAAAAAGAGGATTTGCGGCTAAACTTATTACATCACGACAACGCGTCATCCCACAATACTGATATAACTCTGGGATCGAAAAAATATGTCCGGCACCATGGTTAACTAATGCCATTAATGCTGAACTTCATAAGCTTAGAAAGTAACCTTAAAAAGTAAGATTTTGAACACTGTTTTCATAAGTGGATCTATAGGCTTAAAAAATGCTTTGAAATCCGTGGCGATTATTTTGAGAAGAAAAAAAAAGGACAAAGATTGAACTCAATAAATGAACATACAAAAAAAATTGTTGTTTTCTCGTCAACTTATCAAACTTTGATTAATCTCAAATGCTTAATTTTTAATACTTACTACTGTTTATTCGGGAATAGTCAATGGATTTAAATAAAGGATTTCCAATAAGACATGTTATTTTGAATAGCTTGCTACTCCTTTAGATATCACTTTTGAAGCTGTAATTCTTTGACATTTGACAATTAAAAGCTACTTCAGTAATTAAAATGGAACGGTTCACGCTTCAACAAGGCATTGAAATTATTAAAATTCACTATAAAAATGGTGAGAATCAGGGGGAGACGGCTTATAAAACTAAAACATTCCCGTGAAACACCTTGTGGGACCGCAATGCAGAAACTGGGGGAAAGAGGGGGCTGTGTGGAGACGTTAATGATATAAAGAAAACTCACGCCCAATAAAATTTAAAAACTAATATTGCTGCTGTTTCCCAAAATGCGGAAGAAAATCTGCTTTTGTCCATTCCACGATATTCTTTGGGATTTGGCATTCTGTTTAGGTCTGAAGATTAAGTTCAGTTTACACAAGAACTAAAGACGGACGATCATCAACAACGTCGTGTCCTTGCTAATTTCCATCTCAATATGCAAAACTGTCGCACTACTGGGACTCGGAAAACCCAAGTTTTATTGTTAAAAAACCCCACCATTCAGTTTGTTGCGGTTCACATTTTCGAAAATGAGGCGAGAGCAACGGTGAATGGATTGCACTATCGAGAGATGATTAATAACTTGTATGGCTGGCGCCGCTAAGTGCCACACAAGCAACGAAACCATCGATCTTTTAAGGGAAAAAAAGGTTCTGGAATGTGTGATCTCTCGAAGAGGTAATCGCAATTGGCGACCGAAATCTTGTGATTTAACATCTTGTGACTTATTCCTTTACAGGCACGTGAAAGCTAAGGTCTTCACAAACTGGCCAACGTCGATTCAAGACCTCGCGAAGCTATTGAGGGAGCACAGCAGTCACTTTGAGGTTTGGTGATGGAAAATTTCATAAAGATTTGGCTGATATTGTCACTCATAATTAATCACATAACTTCCTCTTTACTATGAAATATTCATCCGATCATTTGTCACAGAACTTAAAATTTTACCTTGAATATCAAAATAGCACCTCTCACTGCAAAACCCTGTATATACATAAAATAATTAATTAAGATATTTACTAGTTATATCCATAAAGAAAGCACCACATACAGCACCAAGGATTTCTACTTCACATGCATTCCTGCATCAGTGATTTGATCCAACTTGAAAGAATCAATATTTTTTTCGGAAATGAACGAGATAGCGAATCTGTCATATATGTTTTGAATTTTGATATTTGAACATTTGGATTTATTAAAAACCGTTAATTCTTTTAACTTTTAATAATTATAAAAACGGAAGAAAAAATATAAATCGCATAATCCAGGGCGTCAATCGTTTCGGGCTTATCACATATCCCCACAAAAAATATATCAGCGGCCTTAACTCGAATGATCCTGGGAACCATTACACAGGCCAAACGAAAATTTCCTTCAACAATTTAATGGTTTCGTGGATTATATGGCATGTAGCGTCGTCTTGCTTGAAACAAATGGCGTCCACACCCACGTCACCGAGTAGGTGCATTATCCACTAGAGTAAACGTGGTGCGAAACCAATCCACGGTTTTCTTGAATTATCGATACTGTTAACTCATTCTACTTAATAAATAATTTATTACTATTAATAAATATTTATTAAGCCATGCGAAATGCAGAAAGTTTCCGGAAATTGTAACTAAAACAAACGAAAAATTTTTAATCTTCACCAATAATTATTTTGCCCCCTTCAAAATTTGCTCCTTCTGAAGCGGTATACACTCTACCAACTTTTTTTCTAATCGACGAACCAGGCCTTGTAAGCGCTGTCCCGGATCGTCTTTAGTTCCCTCTGCGAATTTACTGTTACCACCTCTATAGAGTGCAAAAGGGCTCCACGCTTTGGTAACTTGAGTTTTGGAAACAAAATAAAGTGACATGGGGTAAAATCTGGTGAATAGGGTGCCTGATCCATGATATCAAATGAGTTTCTGGTCTAAAAATCGTTCACAACTACAGCTTGGTGCAATAGCGCATGAAAAACCAATAATTCTTTGGCCCACAATTCCGGCCGCTTACGACGGATGTTTTCTTGCAAACGCTATTAAACGCTCAAATATTACTCTTTATTGGTCGTCTGTCCCACGAACTTCAAAAAAAACGATAACCGGAGACCTTTTGGTCATAATTTTTTAAAAATTTATATCCTTCATTACCCTACAATTCATTATAAATAAATTAATTAATAAATTAGTCCGACCTCCTCCTCCAATTTGTGGTTTTGCGTCTTGATGTTTTTCCAACGAATAGATACTAAGCTGCCTCTGAACGGCTGACGGTTGTTTTTTGGAAGTTAGTACGACACCAGGATATGAAACCGAGCGTTCCGAATGGCAATACGCAATGCTAACCACTCGGCTACCACGATTTACGTCAAATATACGCCGTTTTGTTCGTAAACTTGTTGCCAACGAGATGTCAACTTTATTATATCCCTCTCGTAGAAAACTGCGTCCCTATTGGCAAAAAACTCGGAGAGCCAAGTTTCACAGGCCTCTTTTGAGGCCGACTTCTCATCATTAAGCGTGTTCGTCATGGCGAGGAAAAGATGGTAATCACTTGGTTCACAGGTTCGGTTTATAGGTGGGTGCATTAGGACCTACCATCCGAGCTCCTGGAGCTTCTGGCGCGTCACAAAAGACGTGTGTGGCCTGGCGTGGTTCTGATGGAACACTATTCGGCGTATGTTAATGAAAGATGGCCTCTTCTGGATGAGTGCTGCCTTCAAGCGTTCCATTTGTTGTACCTAATATATTAGATGCAACCAAAAGTTCGTTCGGTTTTTATCTAGTCCTTAGTACTAGTGTTCCGTGTCCCATCATGTCATACTATACGGCGCTGAAAACGTGTTTATTCGCGCTAAAAGTTTGTTGTTGACGGTTTTTCAATTAATTGACTCAGTACGCTGTGCGCGTCAAAAGGTGGACACCAGCAAAGAGAAAATTCGCTATATTTTACAATTTTTCTTCGATCAAGGCAAATTTGGACAAAAGCGCAATGCTGATATACCTAGGATTGCAGCGCAGATCCACTATATACTTCTTATTTCTTGATACATAGTCTTTCAGCGCAGAACAATATTAAAAGTGTTTAAATCCAGAAAAGATATTTAAACTTTTTATTTTGCATCAGTAAATGCTTTGAATAAAGAAAAATTGTCAGAACAATATTTTGAAAAATTCCCTAATGATTGATTTGATATAAATTGTATTCGTTAATTTACTTAAATTTATACAGCTTAATTTGCTGGTGGTTCCTTATTTAATTTAAAAAAGACAGCAAAAAGTGTTCTGCACACACAAACATATCATTCGATTGCTTAAACTTTGGATATAAAACTAATTAAAGTTCATTGAGCTTCATTCACATATTAAAACAATTTTCTATTCTGTTCACCACCCTGTAATCTGCCTATTGAGCATACAACTGTGCTTTGAAAGCATAAGCGCCACCCTTCATTCCATTTAAGCTCCACTTTAAGCGTAATCTGAAGCTCGTAAGTTAATTTTCCAAAAAGCTCTAATTGTCTCTTAGTTGCCCAACTGATCCGATCTACAGATCTGCAGCTTGTTCGCTTGAGCGGCAAAAGTGCAAAAAGCTAAATTTATTGTTGGTCAGTTGAGTGCGGTACTTTGGAGCTAGCGGACGTGTCTTCGGCAACGATAGTTCTTAGACGAGTTGAGGTGGCCAAACGTGTGAGTTGCCGAGTGCGAGCGTGTACATTGTTGCGGTTCATATGCTCTCGTAGCCGAATATAGAAATGAGGAAATAAATACATGCGTACAACAAAAAAGAGAAAACATAATAAAAGTGACAATTGCGCGTTGTGTTTTGCATAAATTTGCTTTATAATTTTACAATAACAAAGAGCAACATAGTACGTAAATCAAAAGAAGAAATATCTAATGAGTTAAATAATCAAAGTGAAAAGGCAGTGGAGAAACACACGCAAAGAATATAGAAAGCGACCTTTGATAAAGCATATATTTGTAGGTGTTGGCATTTTTTGAAAGTGAATTTCGTTTCGAATTGTTGGAGCAAAATAAATTAGTGGATTCTTCTTTCATCACGCAGCAAACGCTATTAGACGAATGCAAGGTAAAATTTCGATATGAATAAGTTGCACACGCATGCGCAGCTTGCATTGTCATGCGATATTTTTATGAAACTTATAAAGACCTAATGAAAACGATAGCAAAACGAACGCAAAACAGCTGAAAGGCTTAGTATTGTTGACATGAAACTTCTTGTTTCCGCTGAAGAGCTAAAGACTTCTTTAGTCTTTTATGGCTTAAGCTACTGTACAAAATATGCTATAGTCTCTGTCCGTCGGTGTGGTGGGGAAATATTTATTTTGTTTTTGAGTACACTGATGTTATTGACGTTTGCGTCTTTCACTTTTGCTTGCTGTCTTGCGTGACATGTGATCATTAATGGTTTCACCCGCCTAAGATGCGCATAAAATTGCACATATGCAAGGTGGACAGCTGTTTACTCCCTCCAAAAGTGACAGTGTTGCCACATTGTAAACATTGCATCGTTGGATTATGCTGTTGAGCCACAATGTAACAAAGCTGTCGTAAAACGTAATAAACTGCAAAGAGCCAGACTCAAACGAAAGAAAGAAGTAAATGGAAAAGAAATCGCATTCTTCGACGTCTGCTCAGCTGGCTGTTCGCAGCGGCATGCAAACCGCATACAATTATCGATTGCCCAACAAAACATGCTTGCGTATCGCGCATTTTATGCCTTTCTTTTACCGTTTTACATTTCATCTTTACCCACGTTTGCTTTGCGACGAGGGTATATATGTATGCATGTATGTTTTTGAAGTATGCTACGTACAATATTTATATTTCGTATGACAACTGCTCACTGAGTTACTTTACATTTTAAGTGAAACGTGTGTGGAATTATTAATTGTCACGGGCCGCAGAGGCTTTTCGTGCTTTGTCTGTATTCTTCTTTACCTCAGTTACTATATTTGATAAATTGTCAATGGCCTCATTTAAATTAACATTGATTGTTGGTTGAAGTGCTAGGCTGACTTGTTCCACACTTTTTTTCATTCAGAACTTTTAAAATTATTATTGTACTTTGCTACAAATATATGGTATTTATTGGAAGGAAAAATAGTTTCAAAATATAATCTTGAATTCCTCATCTGAACTGTGCTAAGTACTGAGGAGATCACCACTAGACAGCCAATAAACATAGAGAGCACACATCTGCGCCAAGAAATGCACTATGCACTGTCTGTTAAATCATCAATCTTCTCTCTGCGAACAACTAGCTCCTCTTATACAAATCAGTGCTGAAGCCATTATTGACTTACGGTATTCAACTGAAGCAACGAGGGAGCTGATCCGTAAACTAATTACACCGACGCAAGTTTTCTTTAGGCTGAAAAGAAAAAAATTCGCTACAAACTAAAAAAGAAATTTATAATTGAGAGTATATTCCAGAAGTAAACTTAATTTACTCGTTGTAGAAATTAACATTTTAATTATATTTCATTTTTTTAATTTTATTTTGTTTTTAATATTTAATGTTTTTGTTTTCTATTTATATACATTATTTTTAATTTATTTTATTTTTTCATAAATTTTTTTTATATACATGTAGGGTTCTTAGTCATTTCAGTTAGATATTACCTACCCTTGGCGCAGTTTAAATAAATAGATCGATACTTTTAGTTCATTTTAATTCACATGTTCATTATTTAATTCATATTTTATTGTTTAATTAACATTTTTAAATAACGCTTAACTTTAACAAACACATTTATTGTAATTATTATTTTAGAAATACAAAGTAAAATTCACATTTGATGGTTAACTTATTTTATATTTTAGAATTAAGTGTGCTTTGTTCAAATACTTTTCCTAGACTGACTCATTTTCAAATTAGAACCGTTGCTCTTTTTTCATCGTCCGTTATAGTGTCCGTTATAGTGCACGCTTCATCTCGTCAGTGTTGTCGTCAAAAATAGTCCAGGGATGCATTTAATAGGATCCCACATACATTTATTTTATTTTATTTTTTTTTTACCATAAAGGTATACATCAAGAATCGGGTTTTTTGAATTATTTATCATTTGTTAAAGTTTAAAATATTTACGATTTAAAATGGATACAAAACATTTTGATTACAGGCCTATTAGAAATAGTTGATAATAATTGGTTTATATTTAAACTATAGTGACTATAGTGGTTGTTGTAAAACAGCCTATTGCATCGCATGCCGCTTTTCCATCGATTCAAGTTTGTCAATAATTTTGTTTAGAGTTTTTGGGATAACACTAGTAGATGATATGATAATTTCTATTATCTCCAAATTTTGCAATCTCCACATGCCCTTGATTTCATAGGCTAAGGTGTGATATTTTTTACACTTCTCTGTATAGCATTCTTGTATATGGTGAGTATTTTGTACGCCTATGTCTATTAGCAAAGCCCGTTTTTCTCCCTTTCGATTACAGTTATGTCAAGTCTTTTGTGTGGAGTGTGATGATCCGTCAATATTGATCGATCCCAGTAAATTTTTGTTAAACTGCTCTCTAATAATGGTGCACAATTTTAGCGACGAGGTTATGTCTTGTCAGGTATTCGGCAGCTGCTAGTGGAGCACATGCGCCGGTAATATGGTGAATCGTTTCTAGTTGCCTTTGACATCGTCGGCATAAATCGTTTTCAATGGTAGCTCGTATAATATACTTCTTATAATTTTTCATTGCAATAACTTGGTCCTGTATAGCGCAAATAAAACCTTCGTTGGATGCTTTTGTGTCTATTTCCGGTTGGTCAATAGCGAAGCGGTACTTTACGTGGATCGATTTCATTTTCCATTGCAGTACAATGGTAATTAGTGGAAATGATGCGGGTCTGTCATTTAAATTGAATATACTTTAGATCTCATTGACATACGGCTTTGTGGAGTTCATTTTGTTGCTCGTGGAAGTACCAGCGAAGGTTATGTGCACACTTTCGATGTAGTTACGTGATGTCTACCATGCCTCGCCTTACTTGTCTTCGCGGTAGGTATACGCGTTCTACGGCTGACTTCGGATGGTGTATTCCGAATTTAGTTAGTGGCGTTCTTGTAGTCCTTTTAACGCTCTCCAAATCTGTATCAGACTATTTTGTTGTTCCAAATGTATACGTTAGGAAAAGCACAGCAAACGCGTTAAAGGCTTTTAAGAGGTTAAAGCCATTGAGATGCAATTTTAGCAAGCTTTTCACTCGCGTAACAATTTTACCACTTACCACTCTTCAGGAAGATTATGTCTCTCTTCAGCTCTACAGCTCTTATTATTCTCTCCAGCATCAAATTGAATAAATTACACGACAAGGAGTCACCCTATCTAAAACATCGTTTGGTATCGAACGGCTCGGAGAGATCCTTCCCAATTCTGACAGCTTACACAGCCGTATAAGTTTTATGGAGATACCAAATTCAACCAAAGCGACATAGAGGCAGCTCTTATTCGTGTTGTCAAAGGCGACTTTAAAATCGACGCAGAAGTGGTGTGTGTCGATTCTCTTTTCACGGGTCTTTTCCCTGATTTGGTGCATGGTGAATATCTGGTCAATGGTTGACTTGCCAGGTCTGAAGCCACACTGATAAGAGCCAATCAGTATGTTATCGGTGGGCTTCGGTCTTACAAACAATACGCTCGACATGACCTTAGAGGCGATACTAAGGAGGCTTACTCCACGGTAACTGGCGCAGACTGTGGGGTCCCTTTTTTTATGGATTGGGCAGAGCACACTTAAATTCCAATCGTCGAGCTTGCTTTCGTCCGACCATATTCTGCAAAGTATTCTCCATTTTCTGTACTATTCAGCAGGAGAAGTGTTCCCGTAATAAATTTAATATACTCTGGGCATCGGTGGCTAGATCACCTCTTTGCGTCCTACAAGAGTCTGCTCCGGTCTTGAAACCTTCTGTAAGTCGTCGTATCTTCTCGTAGAATTTTCAAGCATTGCCCTTGTCGGCCAGCCTCTCAAGCTCTTCAAACTCACACATCTCGGCCTCTTGCTTCCCTCTTCATCTCCCGGTATCTATCCCATCCCGCCCGTGTTGTGGTCGTTCACAAGGTTGCGAGATAGGCAGTCTGTGTACTCTCCACTGCGAGACGTCAGTCTTCATCGTACCAGCTGTTTTTGCGAACTTTACGAAATCCAATAGTTTCGTTTGTTGCTGCCCCGTATACCGAGTTGCTGATGAGTGCTCTCAGAGAGCAGGAATGCAAGTCGAGTAGAAAATCGTTCGGCAGTATGTTGTGATTGCAGGTTTTCAACGTCGAACTTTCCTTGTGATTGTTGACGGGCGTTCTTCGATACACAGAGGCGCATGAGTATCTTTGCTGCAACAAGATAATGGTCCAAGTCGATGTTGGGTCCTCGGAGTGTACGCACGTCAAGAACACTGGAGACATGTCTTCCGTCTATCACAGTAATTTGTTTCTTTTATTATAGAGGATTTAATTTAGGAAAGTGGGTTTAAAGGAAGACAAAGCCATAATGGGCTCAGGGCGCCCCTGTCTGAGCTGTCTTTATAAGCCCAGTACTTTAAGGAGCCATTAATGAGGAATGCTGACAAAAGCTTTAGTATAATCAATATAAACAGTATAGATATATCTCTGGTTATAGAAAGCTTGTTCCATAACTATCGAATCTATTATAAGCTGTTCCTTGCATCCTTTACTGTTTTTTATGCAACCCTTTTGTTCGATAGCTACAATGTTGTGGCGCTTGATATATTCATATATTTTTTATGCAAGACCTTAAAAGTTTATAGAGAGTACATAGACATGTAATAGGACGATACTTTGAGAGATCACTAGTATTTTTTAAGTCTTTCGGTTCGAGGTAAGTTTGCCCCTTGTACTTGAGCTTTATTTCGAAGGAAGGCTGATAAATAGTGAGCTATTAGAGCATGAGCACTCGTAAACTTTTTAGCCAGAAATTGTGAATGACATCAGGCCCTGGGGCTTTCCAGTTAGACGTATTTTCCACTGCTTGTTTAATGTCCATATCGTGTACCGTGATATCTTCCATTGTGTTAATATTTCCGCGTATTTTGCATTTTATGTT